ATCAATTATCGTCCGGTCAAACATAGTGTTTATGTTTATCCGAATATATAGCTCATAATAAAGTAAGATTGGTTGAACCACAGGGCTACCAATATAATAAGTATACCTATAAATTACAACACTCGAGTCTCGACACCTAAAAAATTCGAGACGATACTCTGATTGGTCATTGTTTAACTGGTCATAGCGTTATTATTTTTGGTCTGATGGGCGACAGCAAGTTCCAATGTTACTGCAGTTATTTGTTTAATCTTTATATATCACGAAAATACATAACATTAATTCATTATTAATCTCTCTTAGTTTTAAATGCCTTAATTAATTTCTTGGGTTCATAAGTTTTTTACTTTACGAGTCGACAAGAAAAATGTGCACAAATAGAAAAGATGCATTTCTTTGACGAATAGTCATAAATTAATTAAACGTAAATTTACATAACATATAGTTTTACGTCAACAGCATACACATTCAAATTTGGCATTAAATTCATATGGAATAGAACTTTAATCATAAATTAATGTAAAAAGATCAGGGCACATTACATTCTATGGAAACATTAACTTGAACTAATAAAATTCAATAAATTCGAACTTTGAAGTATGAAACAATAACATCTATTTACAAAAGTGGGAAGCTTTTTTATTTCATGCAAACAGCAACATGACATGGTAGAGATATATATGGACCATAGTGGGATCTCTTTCGTTCTCCATTAATTTCCCTCTTTGCACCATATATACACCTGAACATTTCAATTTCTACCCCATCATTTTATTATTATTTTTTATTTTTTACTTTTTTCTTGTTTTGACTTTTGACCTAATGAAAAAGGTCATTGATATTATTACCCAAAGAAAATAAAGTTACCATAGAATATAGCACTTTAACGGCGTGTTTCAAGCATTCCTTGATTATTTACCACCTGCAGTTAAAGAGAAGCAACAAGTTTTGAATTTAGTTTTGGTAGCTTTATAATTTGAAATAAAAGGTGTCGTGTAAAAAAAGGAAAGGAAATAGTTTTTACCTTTCCTTTGAAAAAGTCTACTCAATACCGAGAGGAAAACAATAAGCACAGCAACACCCGCAATAAGTCCAATGAAAATGGCCAGTGTTTTTTCCACCCCATCATCATTTTCTGCAAAAGACACACAGAAAAAGAAAAAANTAGAATTTATTATTAATTTATTTGAGTTGTTGTACTAACTTATAACTATTGTGGAGCTAAACAATTGCAATAATTCACTGCTCTAACTTTTTTTAATTGTCACAAGATTACAACTTTGGCATCTAGATAGTAAAGTAAATGTCAACTTGCAATATTCCACTGCCCAATTAGGCATATTTTGGAGCATTTACATTGTGGTACATAAAATAATTGAACTTGAGTATAATTACATTTGAAGAATTATATGATACATCATATTGATATTATAATTCTTTATGCCATTATATAATTTTTGAATGTGTTGACTATAAGTAATAGGCTCGCATGCTTTGTGATTCTGCATGGCAATATTTCATGCCTTAGTAACCTTATCTTGACATGGGAATAATTGAGTAATGTGGGAGAATCTTGACATTGGAATAATGGCCTGCCCAATTCAAATTGCACCTTATCTTTTGGGGCTGTTAAAAGCAAAAAGAAGGATGTTTAATTTGTTACCTTTGCTTCAACTTTTCCTCCTTTTTTCTTTTGGCTCATCAGTTGCTATTTGAATTGTTAATCACAATTCATTATGCACTTTTACAAATCCTTATAATAGAGGACCAATATAATTTATTGAGGAAAAATAGACACAATCAGTAAGAAATAAGATTAAAACAAACTAACTACGTAATTGCTACTTAAATGATTATGCAATTATGTTGTTAGCTAGGCACAAAATCAGTACCTCACTAGGCCTAGAGTGGCCTCAATTTTCAATCAACCACTCACTATACCATTTGCATAACATTTGTCTACTGCAACCTAAATTTCTTCTAATTATAAAAGATAATTACAATCCAAATACTTTTATGTATCATTGGGTTCTGCATATATGTTCCAGACTTCCAGGAAACATATAAGCAATAATTTGCATGTTTTTTTCTCTTTTTNGAGTACCGCGCGTAGCACTTTCCAAGAAACATATCCCCCCACAGCGAGGACGCGCACTCGTTCCTCAGCCGTTGGATGGCCTCCGCCACGCAGCCCTGGCACTCGCCCCCACTCAGATCCCCCGTGCACTGCGCCACACCCCGCACCTCCCCCGACACCCCCACCCTGAAATACTGCCCCCCCGCCGCCAGGTACGTCAGCACGCCGTCCTTCCTCGCGAGCACGTCCCCGCCGGCGGCCACGGCCGGCCCACATCTGTCGGACGCCACCGCCCGATCCTCCTGCCCCACGAAGGACGAGTTGTCGTACCGCACGAGGCAGCCGTCGAGCTGCAGGGCGGCGCCGGCGGCCCCGGGGCAGGTGGCGGCGAGGCGGGCGACGGCGGCGGCAACGCACCGCCGGCAGTCGGAGCCGGAGAGGTCTCCGCGGCACTGGTAGAGGCCGTAGACGGCGTCCCCTGGGCCGGAGCCGGGGACGGAGATCTTGAAGTTGTTGAAAGGGGCGGTGGAGGCTGAGTTGACGAGGGAGGTGAGGATGGAATCGAGGTTGGATTCAAAGGGGGAGGTTGGGCCGGGGGAGTACCTCAGCTGGGAGCACCCGGCGTAGATGAAGGAGTCGACGGCGGATTCCGATAGGGGAGAGAGGAGTAAGGTGAGGGTGAGGGAGAGCAGCGAGAGAGAGAGGGGTTGGCCGCAATGCACGTTCATGTTAGAGAGAGAGAGAGAGAGAGAGAGAGAGAGGGTGATGTGTGATGTTTTTGTGTGTCTCAATTTGTGGTTGCGTGTATTGTACTATAGTAGGGGGATACAACTATAATTAGTCGCTAGCTAGTGTAGTGTGTGTTGATTGAGAGTTGACCTTTGTATGTATGAGTCTAGAATACTCAAGGATGTAAAGAGATGATCATTATAAACAAACCCTTTATATATATAACTTGTTGCCTAAGATTTATCTTATCTTGTTACCTAAGTGCCGAACTGCTCGATCACACCGCTCGGGTGCTCGAACTGCTCAATTATGTTACCCACGTGTCTCTGTTATCCTAATTTTATTCGTGCTTACATGTTTATCTGTCGTGTTCACATTAGTTTGCCTTAATAGGTAATAGTTCTAGGCATTGCCGAGCTATTAGCTCAGCTTCTTCTATACTTTAAAAGTTCTAGGCGTGATAAGGTCCAAGGCGAGTGACTCCAGCAGGTCCTCTCCGGTTTGAATGGTAGGTCGGTGAGTGTGGTCCAGTCCATGCACTCGAGTTTGCCGGTACCTGCAAAGCGCCGGAATTGCTCCGGCGCAAACCCTCCGACGCCCAAGTCGAAATCCCGCAATCAAAAGAGAAAGATAGAGAGAGAGAGAGAGAGAGAGAGAGAGAGAGAGTGAGAGAATGCATAATAACTATTGTAGTGAAATAATGAGTTCATGTTACCTTCCGTCGGTCAATTTACCTCTTATATAGTGACTGACTGTACTGTCCTCGGGACCATAAATCCTTAGACATTCATTGACCGAGCACATGGCGTATGATGACTTCGAGGTCCAAGGCTCGACCCCAAGCCCCATCGCCGGTCGACATTGTGGTCGGGGGTCGACTCCTTGGGCCAATCGACGGGTCGACGCTATGGTCGAGGTCGACACCTTGGTCCGATCGACCCTTAGGTCCGGTCGACACTTGAGCGGATCAATGCACGGTCTATGCCCAACCATTATACCAGTAGGTTTTTGGACTAGTAGGCCGTTGGACCATTAGACCAGTAGGCCATTGGACCAGTAGCCATTAGACCATTAGACCATTAGACCAGTAGGCCATTGGACCAGTAGGCCATTAGACCAGTAGCCATTGGACCAGTAGGTCGTTGGACCAGTAGGCCATTAGACCAGTAGGTCATTGGACCAGTAGGCCATTGGACCAGTAGGTCATTGGACCAGTAGACCATTAGGCTTGCTTGGCCTCAATCTCACGGGTCTTTGTCCGGTTAGACCGAGTCGGTATTATAATCCCTATCAACTACTCCCCCTATTTACGAGTATACGAAGCGAAGCTCGTTTAATCGTAAATATAATATTCGGGCGTCTTGTTATCGCTACCCCCTAACACTCCTTGAAGGAGGAAGAGGTTTTTCTTTGTTCAGCCTCCACCCGACACCTTCCACTTTTTGTCGAAGTGGCTACATCGCGGGGGTGACCACCTTGCGTGGGCCGCTCACACCGTGCGGGTCGAGCTCGTTGTGCCGGTCGACCATATCGCGCGGGTCGATCGTGCGCCCATGTGAGCTCGATCAGGCGAGATAAGGATCGAACCTAAAAGCTCGATAACGCGTAGTTGGGGATCGTGTATGGCCCTCGATCTATGACCTTTCTCATTTTGTGTGGTAAACGCATGGATCATAATGTGTACGTGTTCGATGCTTGATCTTCGGTCTTTGATGTGTCGACCTGAAACACGCCGAACCTGCGAGGCGTAGATCTGTGGTGCATGGTCTGCAATGCATCAACCGGCGTATCGATCTGCGCTGCATCGACCATCGAGGCGTTGACGTACGACCTGCGAGGTACCGACGTAAGAAGTGTCGACCTGTGGGGTGTCGGTCTGTGCTGCATCGACCGTTGAAGCATCAACGTGCAGAACATTCAACGTCGGTCTGTTATTCGCACATGAGGAATCGGAGCTCGACCCGCGTTTAAGGTGTCTGGGCTCGATCCTCGTGTATGAGGTGTCGGAGCACGATCCTCGTGCTTGAGATGTCACGCTTGAGGTATTGCGCTTGAACGCGATACGTCGTGCCGTGGTGCATCAACTTGTGACTTATCGGCCTTCGTAGTGTCGACCTGCGTGGTGTTAAACCCGCATGGTGTCGAACTACGTGGTGTTCGACCTGCTTGTTGCAGACCTACGTGGTGTTCGACCTGCATGGTGTAGACCTGCGTGGTGTTCGACAAGCATGGTGTGAACCTGCATGGTGTTCGACCTGCATGGTGTAGACCTGCGTGGTGTCCGACATGCATGGTGTAAACCTGCATGGTGTTCGACCTGCATGGTGTAAACCTGCGTGGTCCTTAATGTTATGTGTTTGACGCATCACTACAAGAAATATGAGTTTTACCAACGGAATAATCCGTTGGTAATGAAATTTTCCAACGGAATGCCAACGGCTTACCAACAGATTTTCTTGTTGCTATATGGCTTGTTACTAAATTTTGCCAACAGAAAATACAATCCGTTGGGAAAATTCCCAAAAGATTACCAACAAATTTGCAACGGAAATGCTTCATGAGATTGTCAATGGATTCCCAACGGAAAATGTAGTTGCTAAATCATTCCGTTGGCAAATTACTAACAGAAAGCCAACATATTAGTTACGAATATACTAACGGATTACCAACAGATTTTTCTCAATGGATTTTCAACGTAATTTTCCCAACGGATTACCAACAGATATTTTTTCAACGTATTGCCATCGGAATTTTCTCAACGGATTACTAACGAAATTTTCCCAACGGATTGCTAACTAATATTTTTTCCCAATGGATTACCAACGGAATTTTCCTAACAGATTACCAACGCATATTTTTTCCCAACGGATTGCCAACGGACTTTTCCCAACAGATTACCAACAGATTTTTCAGCAAAAAAAAATAAAATAAAAAAAATAATAATATTGTTGATCCAACTTGGCTCACCTTGAGCCCATGACCACCTTGAACCACACGGCTCACCATGACCCATGGCCATCTACACTTTGGGATCTCGGGAAACCGCTTTCTTAAAACAAGCTGCGGATGCTGCCCCACTCCGAGCAAGGGTATATATATATATATTATATTCTATATTTAAATTCATAAATATTTCTATATTATTTATGATCTAACCGTTCAATTATATTAGGTGTTTTTTTTAATGTCTAATTAAAAAATAGTGACTATATATATTAGTATCTATAAATTTATGACATTATTAAATGAACTAGTACGAATCCCGTACGACGTACGGGTAAGAGATATGTATTAGAATTTATAAATTAAAAATACACATTAAATATTTATAAATTAAAAATATGGAATCAATGTGTAATACAATTTACCTATATTAATTTATTAAAATGTTATATAAAATTTAAATATTAAAAAATTACATAAAATATGTCTATTTAAATTAGTAAACAACCCGTACGGTGGGCTAACTGATAATAAATTATATAATATTTATTTAAAAATAAGTGACATTTTAAAAAAATTATTTGTAAATTTAATTACAATGTGATTCCATTAAAGAAATATTTTGGTAAAATTTTATCAAATATTTAAATATCTATTAAAACAATAAGTATAATTATAAAACTTATATTGTTTAGTTAATTAAAATGAATTTATTTTTGTATAAACTATCCAAATAAAAATTTTTAAGTAGTTGAGTAATTTATTAAATTAAATAATTAATTATTTCATTTACGTCAAAGTTAGTATTGACTCATAAGTTATGAATAATTACTTATTTAACTTTTAAATTTGAATCTGAAATGTGGACTACACAATAATTTTTCATTTATATATGTATGTATACACACACACACACACACACACACACACACACACACATATATATATATATATGTATATATATTCTCGCAATTTTTTAGATTTTTTGTCAGCCACCTTATCATTCAAATTTATTACCTCATTAAATAATGTTTACAAAATAAAAATATGGAATAAATATATAATATAATTTACCTATATTAATTTATTGAAAATATTATATGTAATTTAAACTGTGCAAAATTACATAAATGTGTCTATTTAAATTAATATACAACTCGTACAGTGCACTAATTGATAACAAATTATATTATATTCCTTTCAAAATAAGTGTTATTATAAACTTTTTTATTCACAAATTAAAATAAATATTTCGGTAAAATTTTATCATATATCTAAATATCTGTATAAATAATAAGTACAATTATAAAATTATATATATGTATATATGACTTTTTAATATCATCTATCATCTATCATAATATTCAATACTCTAATTAATACAACCTAATTACTAATTTCACTTTTAGGCTTAACATATTTAACAATGTCATAAAATCATATAAATATATATATATGATTTTTTTTTAATTATTATGATATATAGAAAATTCTAAAAATGAATGGAATGCATATGTGGCACATATTTATTTTGAATTGATTTAAATATTATTAAATTAATTACATAACTAAATAATATTGATGTAAATTAAATATTTATCATTATATATATATATACGTATATATATATATATATATAAAGAATTTTACTTTTGTAAGTGTTATAAATAATAATAATAATGATATTATACGATTTTGAAAGAGTTTGTTGCTATTCCGTTGCTATTTGCCAACAAAAAAATTCTGTTGTTATTTACCAACGGAATAGTCCGTTGCTATTACAATTTTGAAAGAGTTTGTTGTTATTCCGTTGCTATTTGCCAACGGAAAAAATCCGTTGCTATTTACCAACGAAATAATCCGTTACTAATACAATATTGAAGGTGTCCGTTGCTATTCCGTTGCTATTTGCCAACGGAAAAAATCCGTCACTATTTACCAACCAAATAATCTGTTGCTATTATAATTTTGAAAGAAATTGTTGCTATTCCGTTGCTATTTGCCAACGGAAAAAATCCGTTGCTATTTACCAACGGAATAATCCGTTGCTAATAGA